ATGTGTCTAGAAAATGCCTGAGTTGTGTATAACTTTCTTTTTGAATCGACTGTAGCTCAAAAAGTGACATAACATGATTTAATGGAACCCTTTTTTTGTTTTCATAACGTTTTTTTAATAAATTCAAAGCAACTCTGTAATTTGCTTCTGAAGTGTCAAGATTTGATATAATTTTCAACGCATCTCCTTCTAAAGATGATTTTAGATATTGAAATTTTTGAACTGTTGTCAGTGTGACATTATTCTCAATTAATGACTGAAATAGATCATGAAAATTGTCCCATTTATGAATACTACCATCAAATATTGGAATAATGATCGGTGGTAATTTTATTTCTGGCAACCTATCTGTTTTACCATTAAATTTTTCCAAAATTTCATCCGCTTGTGATAACGTTTCATAATAAATGTCTTCAAAGAAAACCCTTTGTTCGTCATCAACAACCATTGTAATTGCATCTATTTCTATTTGTATATTCTCAAACTCTGTCAAGTGCTTTTCTAAATTAGACCGTCTGACCTTTAACTCAAAAACCTTTGGATGTGGATTGTGCTCTAACCATGATTTAAAGCGCTCAATTTTTGCAAATATAGCCTCTCTTTTTTGAATTAACAAGTCTTTGTCCTTTGATTTCTTTTTGTCTGACATGATGAAGAACCAAAGATTATTAGAAAGACTCACTCACCCTTTGTCTGATTTTGTACCTAACTAGCAGTGCTGATCCCCAGTCCTCGCCTTATGCTTCAGCCTCACGCCAGACACCAATATCTTGATTGAATTGTGAATGAATGTATTTTGCGCAGATATGCCTATATCCGGCTCGTGGAACCAAAAAGTATGGTTGAATGTGTTTCAACCTAAATTGTAGTTTCGAATGGACTGTATATTGAAAAAGGGAGAAATAATATTGTACTTTGTATTTGATGTTTATTTGACAAAAGTAATGAAATGTATATCAATGATAATCTCTATGTTCAGTGGCGGAACAAGTATATGGGTAAAAGGAACACAACAAATCTGCAACAGGTGGACAAGTTTTTATGCCCTATCCAGGCATAGCTAAGGCAACCTTCAGTGAAGTCCGTAAGAACTTTTAATTTCCTTTTAATAATATGTAAAGCAGTGAGGCTTATTTTATTTTAACCTTATTATTTTTCTGCTACACTTTTAAAGTCTAGAACGTAGCATATGTATTTTTTATTTCATAAATATTTTCTTTTTTATATGGTATAAAACATATTTATATTCCCTTTGAGACAAATGTTTTTTTGTACACCACACTTATAGATCTATATCCTAGGTAAACAACTTAATTATACTTAGTATCTCTTGTATTTATATTTAATTAGGCATTTTGTACATAGTCTAAATTATCAGAATATTTAACCTAATTTGTTTATTAATATTAGCTTATAAGATTAAATCTGAACTCAAGGTTCTTGTGAATTTTCTATAACCTAGGAGGTAATATGCTCCTCTAGTATTAGGTATCAAAACTTGACTTTCTTTTTGTATTTAAAAAGCATATTTTTTATTATAACTGATTGTAACTGATGCAGTTCTATCTTTAATTTTTATGTATCTTTGAAAAATTTATTTTGTATAGAGATATCCCCCATAGAATTGTTTATTAATAAATTGGGTTTATTGAATAATAGTTTGGTTTTTCTCCTCCCTTGTCACTGATTTAGTTGTTTACAGATGACATCTCTTTAGATACATGTGTTTATATATCTCCTAAGTAGATATACTCTTATATAGGTTTCTGTATTCTCTATTTCCTTTAATCGATGCAGTAGCGCCCAGTCACATACTTTGATTTTCTTTTACTATACGGAGAATGGTCGCACTGCGCAGCTTTCTGAGTTCCTTTTAAAAGGAGATAGAAAACTCCGCCATTTTCATCCCTTATTACGTGTTGCCTATATCTTGGCGCAATATTTTTAATAGGTGCGTTTTAATCATCCGCTTCTTCTTCGGAATTGTCGGTTTTCTTGTTTTAATCTGACAGGTTAAAACGACTAAACCAACAATTCCGGAAGCAGAAACGGATGATTAAAACGCACCTGATATTTTGCTTGCTGCTGTCATTGTCAGTGAATATTATTTTTGGAGTCACAGTTTATTGCTAAGGAATCAGTTAGCTCACTCGGACTAGTCGAAAGTTTCAAAATAACATCCGCTCCAGGGATACAAATTCAAGATACGCAGAAGACTGCTGTTTTATTATAGGCGGTTGTCATATATTGTATTATCCGAGTTGCGCAGTGTATAAACTGGAACATTGATATCAAAAGTGCCGACGCAGAGTGAGCGATCTGATTCTTTAGCTATAAACTGTGGCATGGGAATCAAAATGGCCGCACCCTATGTTGGGCGTGTCGGACCTCTCTCTTGCACCGTATGGTAATCAAAGTATATGCGCCTAGTGCAGTGCCTGCCACTTAACGTCTAGCTATTGGAGAAGATCCGCACCCATCGCCAGAGTAGTCGTGTGCTGAACTAGCTGTAAGCAAAGTATAGAGACTTATAACTCCTTTTAGTAAAGTCTAACGCTACATTACCTTAAAAAATTGTACAAAATTTGTCCTAGAAACTATTTTACTTACATATTATAACCTAGATATTAATATAAATAACATTCTCTAGTTTAAACATACTGTGACGTCATACCGTGAATAATGGTTAATTATTCACTGTATGACGTAATACAGTGAATAATAGGTATTAATATTCTTAATGAAATACAAGTATAATGAATGGTTTAAAGATCGGTTGTAGAGAAAAATGTATATACATTTCCATATAAAAAAGTGCTTTATTTGAGATTTATTCTGTTCAACATCAAGTTTTAATTTTATTTAATTCTACTAAAATCTTTTTCCCCAAAGCGGGTACTTTATTTGATTAACCTTCCCCTCCATTAATATTACCGTTTAAGTTATATATAAAAGTTAAATTTTCTTTAACTAAACCACGTTGCAATAATAAATCTACCTCGCCTGCTTCGTCTCCTGAGGAATATTAAAAACAAATCCCCGCGCTGAGATTCTTGAGTGGTGTACACACATTCCTAACGACATCAACGGCCTTCAGAAAAGTTTCAGGAAATATTTCGCGACTTTCGCTCGCAATTGCAAATGAGACAGTTGAGTAATGGCCTCAATAAATCAAATAAAAAGACCCTTTTTAAATCTTAAAGACTGACAATGCTGATAGCGATCACCTACTACCATTATACCGGCTTTGCCATTAGTCAGTTCTGGATCGAATTACCGTTTTGAGCCTCGATGGTTTCCGGTTTCTGATTTTTAATTTCCGTACTATGGTGTCTTGCCTCGCCACGTAGATTAATACAGTAGAGACCAGGGATAGAAAGATAAATCGGGTCAGTAATGGGCCTAAGGGCGAGGCTATCGGAAAAAATTCAATTAACTATTCGAAAGGACTGGAAAAAGATGTCTTGACATTTAGATCCGTTCAACTTTCCTGTCTAATTCATTGATATTTTTAAATTGTTCCATTATTTTTGACGTTAAGATGATTAGGTACATTTAATTTTTATGTTAAAAAAATATGTATTTGCTCAAATAAATATTAAATTTGTTAACTATAGTCAAAACTATATTTATTTGAAAATTTCAATCCCCTACTTTTCAACCAATAAGATGCCTTAAATTTGACTAGTTACCATGGCAACTAAAAAAAATTCCGGAAATTTTTTCGAGGCGCCACGATATTAAAGTAGAAATTTTTTGACAGTTGAAAAGGTAAACATATGATCTACAACCATTAAATAAGGTAGATATAATGAAAAATTTTTATAAGAATTAGCATTATTATTTATTATTCGTTGTAAAGTTTATTAAGCAGAAAACACAAATTTGTTTCATTATTATGCACTAACAATTTATATTTCAAAAAACGTAGGATGTACAAACATACTAAGATTTAAATGTTGCTTCTCAATGGTAAATAGGAAGGTGACGAATTAATTAGATGTCTGTGTTTTAAGACATATATGTAATATTTTGAAAAAATTTTGCTCAAATCTCTTTAAGGCAAAATGCCATAATAATTTGACATCTTTAGCAAACTTTCTTGGATTTTAGTAAACAAACCATTCGACTCTAACGCTTTCTGGTCGCAATCTTCCATTAAATTCGTTAATTATATTAATTTGACTCAATTCTTGTACTCTTGTACTTTTTAAATCATTCCATTTTTTTCAAATTGTTTAACGCAAATGCTTACAAGAAATGTTTTACATAGGAATAACTTTGTTTTCTGGTTTACTATACAGTAACTCAATGTTGTTTACCAATATCTGTCAATAGTGATGGGTAGCCAAGAAATTTCTTCGGAGAATTTCCACTGGAAATGTGAAAATTCCTGGGAATTTCCCCAAACCCTAACTCCCGAGAAAAAAACGGGAATTTTCTAGAAATAGCAGAATTCATAAAACTACTCTGTTATTGTTACTCTTTGTTTATACTTTTAGACATGTCAGGACTTGTAGTCGCGTCTGGCTGACTCAGCTCAGTTGGTATTATAAAAATTGTCTCTTAACTAAAATGAGCAACCACGCCCCTCTTATGCTCTCGCTCTTCCAATGAGAAAAACATTGTCAACTGCATTATTGGATTCCCATTATGAAGAAGGCAAGAGTGATGTAGAAATGGCTATTGCTGAATCTGGCTATTTAGCTTTGCAGTTAGATGGATGGTCAAATATAATATCAGAAGGCATCATTAATTTTGTTGTAACAACAGCAGAGCAAAAAACGTTTTACATCAAAAGTTTAGAGACAAAAGAACATCGCCATACTTCAGAATATATTGTTACAGAAACTGTGAACGTACTCAATTAGTATAACTCTAATAAGTGTATAGCTATCATAACTGATAACGCAGCTAATATGAAAAAGGCTACAGCTTCAATTAGCGAGAGGTTTCCACATATTTCAAGCATTGGCTGTTTGGCACATACATTGATTATTATGAACTCATTAAAATTTCCAGCGATGATTTCCTTAATAAATAAAGATATAATTAAATGTATAAAACACTCCCAAGTGTTAAATAGTATTTTTGATGGAATTAGAAGAGCAAAAACCTGCACCAAGAATTTGGTTTTACCAGTTACTACCCGTTGGGGTTCCCACTTGTTTTGCTTACAATCGAAAGAAATTTTGCAAACTTTGGCTGTGAATGAAGAGGCTGGTAATATATTGGGCCGCGATAAAAAACAAACGCTTTTGGATGACGAAATTTTCTAGGTGCATATAGAAAGTACCAAAGCTCTTGTGGAGCCAGTAGTCAACTGGATATTAAAGTAAGAAAGCAACGAAGATACAATACATCTATATTTCAAAGCATTCAATGAAATTTAAGAAGGATTAGCGAAAAACTTACCGCTCTCAGTATTACAAAAAAATGAGGAGAACAATTTTATGGATAAATATTTGGAAGAAAAAGCTTATGTGCTTACATCGATCAATAAAGCATCTTGTCTATTAGATCCAAAGGCGCAAGGTTGCTACTTAAGTGCTGAAGAACAACTCGATGCCATTGAATACATAGTTAACTTCGCACGAAGTTCACATTTCCCTGATGATACCATTTCTCCAATAATTCATCATGAACAGTTGCTTGTTGAAATTGCCAATTATAAAGCGCACGAAGGTATGTGGGCAAAAGATTTCATTTTGGACTGCTTCACAGAATATAACACCTGTCGTTTGATTGAAGATAATCATTGGACAGAACAATCAACTATCAAAAGTAGCAGTAAAAATTATTTCTGTTCCTGCTACTTCAGCTTCGATTGAGCAAACTTTTTGCATATTTTCGGCAGTTCACACAAAAAAAGGAAACAAGCTAACAACTTCGTAACAACGTATATTGCCCATTACTGGCGAACGCGTAATAAAGCTGTACCAGATGTATCACTTGACAAAAACGAGTGTCCGTCTATTTCCAGTTTGACTCAAGTAACTGAAAGTGTTCAGCCTTTTAACATGATAGTGCCGCAAGCAGGGATACCTGGACCTTCAGGCCTTTCAAAATCACCAATAAATTTTAAGCCAGAGACGGAGACAGAAACGTCTTCGGAGGACAAAGAAATTCCTTACTAGGACTCTGATTCTGATTAGGAAGGCGTGACCGATGAGGTTAATAGCTTAGAAACAGGTTAAGTTTTGTTTTTACATACTTTCATAATACTCAACAGTTTTATATTCTACTAGGCATATATTTTATTTGTGTTTTTTTTTTAGTTAAAGGATATATTTTTTAAATTTGTTACCAAAGAAAACTTTTTTTTAACAAAAAAGGATATTTAGATTTAATTTTTTATTTGTGTTGTTATAGTAAGGAGATATATTTTTTATTTTGTTGTCAAAGAAAATGTGTTGTTTCCAATAAAAAATGGATAATTTAATTTAATTTTAATCTTGATTGCGTCTTGCGTAATAAATAGATGAAAAGGAAAATATGCTGAAATTCGCAAAAATGTATCGGGAATTCTTGGGGAAATTCCCGGATAAATTCCCTGAAAAATTTCCGGGGAATTTACCGAACACTTGGTTCCCGGAAATTTACCCATCACTATCTGTCAAAAGCATGGCTGTCTATTTATGACGGCCACCTACTGCAAGAAACCATGTTAATATTATATTTTTTACATTAGAAGTGTTATGGATTACTTTAACAAAAAATACATTTCTACCACCTTTAGGGACCTAAAATAATGAAAGAACGATAGACTCAACTAATACCCATCTGAGTTTTAGCATTTGGTGTAACTAAAGTTGGTATTTTTTTATATAGTGAAATATGGTAGATATATCTACATATAAATTTCCACGAAATTGCGTCATGTTACTTGTAAAAATATATTTCTACTACCTTCATTTAACTAAAATTACCAAATGGCGACAGTCTGAGCTAGTACCCATTTGAGTTTTAGCATTTTGTTTAACTAAAGTTGGTAATTTTTTTTAACGACATATGGTGGATATGATTTTTTTAGAATTTATTTCATGTTGAACTAATATCTTCATTGACAAATCTCTAATCATTAATTATTGCGCCTAATAATTTTTAATTTTATAGCTTATCTTTGTGTTTCCCTACTTTATCGAGTGAAACCAAATTATTATTTCGAATAGACCTTCACACGCTGTGAAACAAGAAGATGGGGTTTCTATTTATTTTAAAATGATTGTAATCGTCCCCATATTTTATTAAATATTGATTGGCACCAGTAGATGGAACAGTGTTTCCAAAACATATGTAGTGCCTGTGCCTAAATTTTATACAAAAAAAATAAAAACTATTGACCGAATAAACCAGAGATTTTTTTATTCATATAAAATATAGAAATTAGTATTAAGTAGAAATAAATTAACTTGTGAGTGTATAAATAAATAAAATAAACTGTTTAAAAGTAATTAAACGTTACAAGAATGAAAATATAAAATTAATTTTCACAAAAAATAATTTAATAAAATAATTACGATTACCGCATTATTGAGTTGATTTTCTGGAATACATCCACGAATTATTTATTTATTATTAAATTAATTTGAATTATATTCTTTTTATCCTAAAATTATCAAATATCATTTTTTCGCGGAGCTCTTAGCTCAAGTCTTCTCTGTTTCTCAGGATTTTCTTAACTAAATATTTTTGTTAGAAAATTTACCCTCAAGATTCGTTTGTAGATTTTGCATATTTTTCGAGATATTTGATTTTTACCTTTAACAGATTGTGAAATTAGAAAAATTAGTATAAATTTTCTAAATCATCAACATAAAAGGAAATATTAACTGAAAATTGTTTATATTTACTTATGTGTTTGGGAATTTAAATATTTTATTACGACATTGTTATTGTAACAATTATGTAATTTAAAAATAATTAATTTAATACAGTTTTTTATAATTTACTTACACTACATACTAATTAATTTATTTCTACTAAAGCACCAATTTGTTTAACACATAAAGTTTATTTAGCAATTTATTTATACTAAAGTATATCACATTTACTTTATCGATGTTCTCAAAGTTATGACTTGACTTTAACTACCTGAATTCCTGTGTGCAACACACACCATTTATATACAAATTGATGTATGCACTGTATTATTCTCTTTTCTACCATTTATTAGACAGGCATTTTCGGCAATTTCTCGAATATACTTTTATAAAGGCTTTGTTCTAGTACATTCCAGTAAACTCAAAAAGGTACACCTGGCTCCGCAACACGCCAATGAACATTTTCTGGGATTTAGACTCGCTCAACAGACGAGAATTGATTATTTGGGAGTGCGATTTTCTCGTACACTTAACTGGTCCTCTCATATTTAACGCTCTCTTAAAAAGATGACAGATGACAGATGCTTCCATTTACACTTTTGATTCTTTAATCCGCCCCGTTGACGTCGCCGAGTACTTAGAAGTACCTTACAGTGTACTTCCAAGACATCTTGCCACAAATTCATCACACTCGAGAGATGTATACTTCAACGATGCCGATATCTTCCCTTTCGCTGTCTCAGTGGATACATTTTTAAAAACATCCCCAGCACCCTCATTCTCACACATTTCCAAACCATCAGGAAATAATACGTTTCTCACTCTCTGAAAGGCTCCAATACACACTCACAAAACACTCTACAAACCCCTTGGCACCCACGCCGCCTCCCACTCTTTCGAAAACCGAAAAGATAACTCTCACATCCTAACTTAAGATTACTCTCAGGCTCACAAGACCTCCCACTTTCCGCTAAACTCCAGTATTGTAATTTAGGCTTTCGTGATTTAATTATTCATACATCCCACCTTATACTATTGACTTGTCCTTATATTAGGTTAAAATAGCAAAATTAACGATATTATTTTGGGAACACAATCTGCCACATAAGTCCCACGCGCCAACGGTTAGAAAAAATAGATTGCTATTGTAATCAGGGCACCCTTTAAAGAACGATAACTCTCATAGCAGGGTATTAGGAAAAATAAAATAAATGTCCTAGAAAAATGTACAAACTAATCAAAAAGTCAATATTAAACTAAAATAAAAACATTCTTTAATGAATGGTCCATAACGACTATCTGTGAGCATTTATCCCTTTTATCCTATTTATTTCATTTATCCCTTTTATCCCCTTTCTTCCCTTATACCTTCTATCCTATTTATCCCCTTTATTCCCTTTATCCCTTTCATCCCCTTAATCCCCTTTATCCCCTTTATACATTTTATCCCATATACCCCTTCTTATCCCATATACCCCTTCTTATCCCCAATATCATTTATCTCCTTATCCTCTTCATCCCCTTTATCTGTTTTAACCCATTTATCCTTTTTATCTCCTATATTTCTTTTATCTTCTTTATCTCCTTTATCTCCTTTATCTCCTTTATCTCCTTTATCTCCTTTATCTCCTTTATCTCCTTTATCTCCTTTATCTCCTTTATCTCCTTTATCTCCTTTATCTCCTTTATCTCCTTTATCTCCTTTATCTCCTTTATCTCCTTTATCTCCTTTATCTCCTTTATCTCCTTTATCTCCTTTATCTCCTTTATCTCCTTTATCTCCTTTATCTCCTTTATCTCCTTTATCTCCTTTATCTCCTTTATCTCCTTTATCTCCTTTATCTCCTTTATCTCCTTTATCTCCTTTATCTCCTTTATCTCCTTTATCTCCTTTATCTCCTTTATCTCCTTTATCTCCTTTATCTCCTTTATCTCCTTTATCTCCTTTATCTCCTTTATCTCCTTTATCTCCTTTATCTCCTTTATCTCCTTTATCTCCTTTATCTCCTTTATCTCCTTTATCTCCTTTATCTCCTTTATCTCCTTTATCTCCTTTATCTCCTTTATCTCCTTTATCTCCTTTATCTCCTTTATCTCCTGTATCTCCTTTATCTCCTTTATCTCCTTTATCTCCTTTATCTCCTTTATCTCCTTTATCTCCTTTATCTCCTTTATCTCCTTTATCTCCTTTATCTCCTTTATCTCCTTTATCTCCTTTATCTCCTTTATCTCCTTTATCTCCTTTATCTCCTTTATCTCCTTTATCTCCTTTATCTCCTTTATCTCCTTTATCTCCTTTATCTCCTTTATCTCCTTTATCTCCTTTATCTCCTTTATCTCCTTTATCTCCTTTATCTCCTTTATCTCCTTTATCTCCTTTATCTCCTTTATCTCCTTTATCTCCTTTATATCCTTTATCTCCTTTATCTCCTTTATCTCCTTTATCTCCTTTATCTCCTTTATCTCCTTTATCTTCTTTATCTCCTTTATCTTCTTTATCTCCTTTATCTCCTTTATCTCCTTTATCTCCTTTATCTCCTTTATCTCCTTTATCTCCTTTATCTCCTTTATCTCCTTTATCTCCTTTATCTCCTTTATCTCCTTTCTCCTTTATCTCCTTTATCTCCTTTATCTCCTTTATCTCCTTTATCTCCTTTATCTCCTTTATCTCCTTTATCTCCTTTATCTCCTTTATCTCCTTTATCTCCTTTATCTCCTTTATCTCCTTTATCTCCTTTATCTCCTTTATCTCCTTTATCTCCTTTATCTCCTTTATCTCCTTTATCTCCTTTATCTCCTTTATCTCCTTTATCTCCTTTATCTCCTTTATCTCCTTTATCTCCTTTATCTCCTTTATCTCCTTTATCTCCTTTATCTCCTTTATCTCCTTTATCTCCTTTATCTTCTTTATCCCCTTTATCTCCTTTATCTCATTTATCTCCTTTATCCCCTTTATCCCCTTCTTTATCACCCTCATCAAAAATTCCTGGTTTTAAGGACAAGAGGGGTCGTAAAAAGACGCAAACATAGAAGAGGGACCTAAAGGATCAGAGAATGACCAGATTGGTCGGAAATGGCTCTTTATACATTATTAAAATTTGAAATTGTTCTATTGTAGGTGAATTAAATATTAAATATGACTACATGAAATTTGGAAAAGTTTTATTAATTAGAATTTGCGACAATATCATAATTTTTTAAAAAATCCTATCGAAATAACGAAACAAACATCTGCGAATCATCTTTCCTTTTATGTCGAGATAATTTTATTCGAAAACATAGTTTTCAACTTAAATTCAAAAAGCAATGTCGCCCTCACCAAGTGGAAGCGATACACGTAATTCACAAGATGTAAACTTTATAACGCGTTGAGTTTTATGTTCGTAATATCATTTCTGTATTCCAGAATAAAATTGGGAACCATGTATTTTAGTCACGGAGCTGGTTCGTTTTAGTGCATCTCTGGGGTTATGGGACATTGTTTTACACTTTGTTGCTACTATTTTAAAGCGTCGCGTGGTATCCGCTGGGAACTTTAACTGTTACATCGTTTTTTTTTAACACATTTTTTAATGTAAGTTGCTGTTAAAGTTTTGGTTTTGCAAATTAAACTTTTAATAATTGTTTTTGCAATGTTAATTTAGTTGATGTTCAACAAGTTATTACTGCTAATTTGGAATTTAAAATTTTTGTATTTTGGATTATTTGTCGCGTACTCAATACAAATTTTAAGCAATCAAATATTAAAAACATTCCTCAAGCTAAATGTACCTCCATTTCAAATAAATATCTTTCATTGAGGAACAACACGTTTCACAAAATTTTTTAAACTGTTGTAATTTTTGTACAATTTGTATTTTTAATTCATCTTGGTCATCCAATGTACTGGATGATTTTTGTTTATCGTAGAATTCGTCTGATTTTCTAAGGTGAGTTTTAGTATTGATATATTGTTGAAAATATATATTTTTTGTACAAGGATTTCTTAAATAAATTGTCAAGTTTTGAACATAATCTCAATATCAATAATGGAATACACATGGTTAATTTATATATTATTTTTTTGGAATAAGATAATATGTTTACGTTGTTTAAATATATTAAATAAGATTTTTTCTTTTCATAATAATTTAAGTATTTGCGAAATTATTCATTTAATAGTTAAAGCATTTTATCTGGATCCTGTTCGGATTTCCTATTTCCTTTCTTAACATTTTAACCCTTTTTTAGCTTGGCTATATCTAGACGGTTTTGAATTCTACTCAAGACTGTTACACTCCATTTTTATTTTTAAGTATTATTTACTATTAAATTTAGTTAATAGTTTTGAACTATAGCTCGTATAAAATATTATTCTTATTTTGGGTTAATTAGATCATCTTTTTTTATATTATTCTCATCCAAATTACATTAATATAATACATATAATTTAGTATAAATCCGGTAATTAATTGGTTTGTTTATTTTTGTAGTCATATGTTCGAATTATTACCAGTTGTCAAATTAATTGTCAAATCAATTGGCTCTAGTCATTCATTGTCCTGTGCTGTATTGTGTAGTACGATTGGTGTCTGTTTGGAATTGCTCGGTTAGTCCCATTTCTAAAGTACAGACAAGAAGTGTTTTCTTCGTTTTAGCTGTTCTGGTCCGATCGGTGTATACAGCCACTTAATTTTTAAGGGTTGTTCCTTTTATTCAATAATAAATATTTTGGAGAATTAGTGTTCATAGGGGGTTTATGTCATTGTATTTAGGGTAAATTACAATAAATTGAATTATTTTATACCGTATTATTATCACAGCTGATTCTAGAGTACAGTTGGCTGGAATGCTTTATTTTAAAGGTCTTGCTAATTGACAAAAGCAGAGTCTTAATGTCAGTGAGTTTTCGAGCAAAAATCGGTCTCTTGCAACCTATTCGTCGTGCTGATAAGACGTCGAACCAAATTAGCAACTGTTTTGTAATTGGTGGGTCTAGGTTGGTTTTTTTAAAGAAAGTTTCCAGAATTTCAAGCAAGAAATTTATTATTCTTTTGGTCCGTTTCACACACGGAAATTTAGTTAATTTACGGGAACTACTCTTTTGTGAAGGATTTATAATTTGCTTCAAAACGACTGGGTGATTGCAGCGGCACATATCCGTGGGAACGTACCCGCCATCTTCCTTGAAGAATTTGGCTATAACATCATGGCTACTATGGCTCATTATGTCCTTGTTATACGGTGGAACCTCTCAAGAGTTGAAGCAGGGTTTATTACCAGTCCTTCGTGTAGCTCGAACCTCGAGCGGCATTGAGGAGTCTCAGGGGAAACACGACGCTATAGGCTTTGTCACCACCTTCCCACGAAGTTCCATAACGCCTGTCATAAATCTGTCTTGGCTTTTATCTCTAGAAGAGCTTAAAAAAAATAAGTGTTCACTAGTGGTTTCTAGTTAAGTGTTTATTCACCAATTTAACGTTTATTCGATTGGTTTAGTGGAATATTTATTCCTATTGCCTAGTGCAGGCTGTAAGTGCTTATTATCAATATTTATAGAGAAGAGTTCTCGGTCATGGGCAATGATCCCGCAATATCTAAGGCAATCCTACAAAATGGGCTACCGACGTTGTACTGCTTCATGGGGGCCTTCCTTTTTCGTCGGGTCCATTACTTATAGCATAGATGGTACATTTCTTACACCAGTCCTTTACATCATCGGAACTGTTCATCCACTAAAACCTTTTACGAACTCTCTGAAGGGTTTTCCTAACACCGAAATATCCTCCTGATAGACTGTCATGTAACTGACGAAGTACTTTGGCTACTCTAGTCTTTGGAATGACCAACTGTCTTCTGTTTTCAAAACCATCATCATTCTCTAAAACTCGCCCAATACGACTTGACTACTAGAGAGAGTTTTGATACTTCTTGCCAGGTAGGTTTACGATTTTTCTCTTTCCATTGTCTTCCTTTATTTTCTAAAAAATCCTTTCAGCTATCTCTCTCACTTGGCCTTTGGTAATCTTCAAGATGGTTGACGAATCGGCTTGGCGTCACCAGTGTCAATTTTGTGTTTTGCAGAAGTTCTTCCTGTTTTTCCTCTATTTGGTACAAAAATGTCACGATATCGTCAAAGAAATTCCTTTATTTTCTTTTTCTCCAATTGATTCAGATACTGCAATTATTTTCTCGAATTTATCGTTGGAATTATCAAAAGTTGTTGTCTGACGAATTATGGAAGTTACTGGTATATACGTTCCGATTCTGATCTTTTTCTTTATGGTAATTGGGCGAATATTAACGTTTATAAGATGAACTTGAATCTTGTTGGCAACTGTAACCAACCCTTTTTGATCAGATTTCCTCATCCAACCTCTTCATCGTGATTCCAAGGTTCCATCATTACAGGTGTTCCTTTTTCCGTAGTTTCTTAAAGCTGTGCTACTATAATGATTTCACTTCTGACTGGTACCTCTGAATTTTAAAACTTTGCAGGGGTTGAAAATAAGAAGATGAGAGTACTAGGCATATCTCCTATGATTGCCCGATGCTTTCGTCTATTAGGAGATTTAGATTCCACCAGTATTGTCCAACACCGGTCAACACAGAAGAGGCGCCTCTTGGTAATGTTGTCAATTACACTTATTCTCTAATTTGTTTCGATTCAGGAGGGTGCACAATAAGCATAGTGAGACAGAAGTTCTCTGGGAACAACCCACACTCATTACCTTCAAAACACAAAAAATTTATTTTCCAACAAAACCTTGTTTAAAAAATATTTTAGTAGTACACAATTTCAATCTAGAGCTTACCATTGGTGAGAGTGATTTTACTATATTTTTTGAATTTAAATAGTTTAATTTGTCTGTTAAACAACAATGTGGATATTCATATTGACACCCAGCCTATTTGATATGTGCGCTAATTTTAGAAAAAAAAATTATTATTGAATTTTTAATTGTATTTCTCATGTTAAAATCAGGAGGTATGAATGAATTCTTTTTAATTCTACTTAATATCCATTTCTGTGGAAACGTTCGCGTGACTCCCCCATCTGTTATTATGTTCGAAACACATGAATGCCATTTTATTTCATGTTTATCACCTGTTCGACGGCCTTATTAAGTAGAGGAGCATCTAATGGATGCTTCATAATGTCATTAACAGCCTGCAAAGCCGATGGAAACGAAACATCAAGGCGTGTATCATGAGGGAAATCTGATTTGATTATTCGCTTTAATAACTGTCATTTCAATGATGTAATAGTTGTTTGCTTGAAGGCAGATGCAGTTTAAAGTTTATTGCATGTTACATTTGAAGTGTACAAATTATTGATTCAATTTCTGTTATCGAATCAATTCCATTACTTAAGATTAAATCAAATTGCATTGGATGTACATAATGCTATAAGTACAATAAAGGGTTAAAAGGACGAATGCTTTCTAAAATATTATAAGACTTTTGGGTTTATAAAACAATATTATTAGATTTTGAGAGAAGTTAGAGTATTTTGTGCTTTCACCGCGATCTATTGTTTAACTTATTGTTACGTACTAAAAGTCTCATACCTTATATATAATTTTTATTAACAATTTTATTATTCTAATATAGAATAATTAGTTTTCACAAAGAAATGAGCAAGGGCCCAACTATTTTAATATATATCTATTTTGAGATCCTTCAACTGTAGCTATATTTCATCTTCAATTAACTTTACCTTGATATCTGGTTTACCTAAAAATAAACGAATTAAAACTAATATTTAAATATTTTAGTAAATTAGTAAATATAACCTTAAATTTTGTTATGTTCCTCTTCTGTTACCTGTCAAATTTTCTTCTCACAGAACCATAAAACATAAATTATTGGAAAAATACCATGACGTCATGCACAGTTCAGTGTAGCCAATAGTTCAGAAGAATAATTCTCTAGATTCTCGCGGAATGATTCGGTTTAAAGCCCATAAGAAAAAAACTATCAGTTTTTTTTTTTCAT